TTTCATATCTGCTCAGTGCATAATAAACAGACTCACATACAACCTGGAGCACGGACGGTGGGGGCAGGGGGTGGGGGGGAGGTGGGAGGATAACTGCTCCAACCCACTGCCCTACCCCTCTCTACACTGAAGTTTGCAAAGTGCAGGTAACATTTCTCCCAGGCAGAAAACATGTCTCTTCTCTAAAGAAACTGAATGAAACACCTGAGGTCAGCAAGGGCTTGCATAGTGGATGTTGGCACCACAGAACACAGCCCTCCTGACTCTGCTATTTCTCATTCTGCCCTACGCAGAGCTTCCAGCCAGATATTCTCATTCGGCAAAGGGACAAGAGGTAAGCCAGATCTAATTGCATAACAGCAGAGGAAATCTACACCGGCTTATTTTACAGGGCACTTGCTAAGGGGCATAGAGCTGGAAAGCAGCTGACCTGGGATTTGAACTGAGGCCTTCCTTCCAAATTTGTGCTCTTAGCTACATGCTGCCCTGCCTCCCTCTTAGTTTGTGCATCTCTTTTCCTGGGTAAAGGAGACAAAAACCAGCATCTACATTTGTATCTGTGGCCACAAGCTGACCTGGATTTTTCTGGCTTTGCTCGGGGCAGGAGTTGCTCCCATTTACTCAGCAGACATTTATGGAGCATTATGTGTGCAAAGCTCTGTGCCACATCCCAGGCTTGAGAACAGAAGGAAGTGCAGACATCAGCCACCAGCACCACCCTCCTTGGAACAGTTGCAGGTTAGAGAGCTGAAGCCCAGAGAAAGGTTACTGGGGGAGACAGGGGGTCCCAGTCAAGGCCTGCTCCTGGCCCAGCCCCCTGAGCCCTCAAAGCCCTGCAGAGTTCCCGAGTCAGCGGCTGGACCAGGCTCTGAATTGTAATACCCGAATAACACTTCCCGATTCAACAATGGGCTGGGCTGGGATGCATCCATCCTCTTGTTTGTGCTAGGGGTCTCCAGGAATTAAATGATTTGGTCTCCCTGCCAGGCCCTGGCTCACAGGTATGCGCCTTCCAGCAGATCCCAGCTGAGTGCATGTGCGTCTGCCGACCCCTTGTGGTCATTGTGGGATCTGTGCTGGCCCAGCAGTTGGGGCCTTGGTTGCACCTCTGGGACTTTCTGCCCTGGTGACCTCACTTCTCAAAGCACTTTGCCACCACTTATCTCGTGGGGTCCTCCCTACAATCCCAGGAAGTGAGGAGAGCCAGAATTCCCATTCCCACTTTACAAATACGTGGCAGCGCCCTGGCATCCAGTCCCAAATCCAACACTAATTCCTTATCTGACCTTGGCAAGACAGTTCCCCACTCTCTGCCTCTGTCACCCGTTGATGAAATAAGAGAAAGGGCCTGCGTGAGGTAGCTCTGAGGTTTTTCCAGCTCCCCAAACTCTCAGCGCGGAGATGTGACTTGCCCAAGGTTGGAGTGAATCAGGGCAGAGGCACTCCCAGTCGGCAGGTCACCCCATTTCCCCACAATGATTGGGAGAAGTGAGAGGTGTCACAGCAAACAAGAAAATCAGTTTCTCCACCTTTGTGTTCTGATTGTGGGGTGAAGTGCCACATGGACAGATGGATAAGTGAGTGGATGGGTGGATGGGTATGTGGATAGATGGATGGGGTGGATACGTAAGAACTTTGGGATCACTCTTAGCTGCAACTGCCTCCCCTGCTCCCTGACTAACTGCCCCTATAATTCTAGCTGCCTAGCCCCTTGGTAGGCTGCTCCACATCCACCTGCTGGGATCTGAAGCCACTGCCCCTGCCTGACAGCCTGGAGCTGGGACGTGCCATGAGGGGAACGAGTCCTCACCCAAGAATTCCTCCCTGTCATGTCACTGACCACATGGCCAAGAGTGGTAGCCTAGGAGGAAAGTCAGGGCCCAGGGCCATGAATGGGCATCCCTCACAGAGCAGTTCCTGCAGCCGACAATGGCTGAAACTGAGGGCGGTGCTTGCAATGAAGCCGAGCATCACTGGGGCAGCCGGGTGGCATGGAAAGAGTACGCCTTATGCATCTCACACCCTGGTTCAAACCTAGCGACTCCAAGTAAGTTCCTTAGCCTCTCTGTGCCTCGGGTTCCTCACCTTAAAAGTGGGCGTGATACCTGAAGAGTACAGTTGTGAGGACTGAATGAGGTAGGATATAAAATGCCTTGCGTGTAACAGGTGCTCGGTAAACAGAAGTTCCCTCCCTTTGTTCCAGGTCATGGAGAACTCTGGAGAAGGAACTAGGTCCACTGTGCACCTAGCAAGATTTTTAAACTGGGAAGGCTTTTCAAGTACCCTAAAGGAGTGACGTGCATGTGGTGAAAGGGGAGGAGGGAAGGAAATGTGTCTTCAGCAAGAATTAAAGGTACACCCAAAACACTCAATCCCATTAAAAGAACATCATTCATCTGCCCCCTGCCATCAGCACGGTTCTTCAGACACAAAGGGTATTCCACAAAGGTTTCCTGAGGACAAAACTGAAAACATCTTTACATAGCTAATGGGCAATGGTCAGGACTCCTGTGTTCTGTTCTTCCACTTCCTGGGTGGGCATGTGCCTCATCCACAGCTAACGCAGCCTAACTCTCCCTAACAGTCTGTCCATCCCAGAATGGGTGACAAGTTCCCCTTAGCTACCCGGTAGAAGGGGGACCTGGAGTTTAGTCCAGCTCTCTGTGAAACACCTAACCTCAGGTAGCTGACAACACAGCTGAGGCTCCACATCACCGTCTGTGAACTCATGCTCCCGAGGGCTCAGGGTCCCTAGCCTCCACTTCCAACTAGAGTGATAGAGATTGGGAGCTTACCACATGGCACTTAGGAGATGGTCTTTGGATGAGACAGGCTTCGGGTGGGCTTTGTCACTTACTAGCTGCCCAATCTTAGGTGGGATTCTTGCTCTCTGAGCCTCAGTTTCTCATCTATAAAACGGGGCTAAGAAAATTACTTGCTTTGTTGTTGGGAGGAATCAATGACTCATGTCTGAAAAGAGCTGAGCCTTGTGCCTGGAATATGAGTGCTCAATAAATGTGAATATGTCAGTGGTTTTACTGGAATGGGCTTCCAGGTGAGACTTCATTTGAACTAAGAGTTCTGTTTGTGTGTGTGTGTGTGTGTGTGTGTGTGTCCTCTGGACTAAAGAATCCCTAAGGCCCTCCTTAGCTTCAGGATTCTATTTCTCAAATAATATCTTCCCATCCAACACTCCTCCATTCTTCCTTCACTGATTTTCCTTCCCTTTTATTTTTTTTTTCTCTCAACAATTAGGCGGCTTCTCCAGAATTTCATCACTTCTTCTTACTTAAATACAACATCCTCTGGTTTTTTCATGCAAAAGTGGGAAGACTAAGTCCACACAGTCTGAGATGAGTTAGTGGCTTATAAAGTGACTTATTAGGTTGACATGCCAACTCCCCCACCTGCCCCACTCCCAGGGGTCCCCCAGTCCGTTGGGCCACAGCATGAGGATGCAAAGACCCTCTGCCAAGGCCAGCCGTCTAGGGAAGAAGGGTGCATGTGGCCAGAGGCTAGACTGGGGTGAGTCTCAGAGAGGCTGCATTAGGGAAGATCTAGTAGGTGGAGAATTCCTGGGGACATTCTGGAGAAAAGAGGGGCTGGGGCTGCTCTGTGGGCCTTCTGAAGACACCAGGATCCCCAAAGCCTTCCTTTCCCCTTCTCTAGGTACAGTGCCAAGGAAAAAGACTGTTGTTGAAATGAAACGAATACACAAAATATAAGAAACACATCAAAATGCTAGCAATGGTTGATCTAATAGAAGAATTTTTGTTTTGGGCAAATGTGGTCATATTGCTTGTATAATAAAATTTAAATATTTAAAGTCAATTATTCTAATCAGTTGTGTTTAGCCAAGAAAACAGACAAAAACCTAGAAAAAGACTATTTGGGCTCCCACTGAAAAGTATCATGTTTTCAAAAGAAGACCATTAAAAGAGAAAATAGGGGACTTCCCTGGCGGTCCAGTGGTTAAGAATCTGGCACTTCCAGTGCAGGGGGGTGTGGGTTTGATCCTTGGTTGGGGAACTAATAAGATCCCACATGCCAAGCAGTGGGCCAAAAAAAAAAAGGGGAAAATAAAAGCATCATTGACATCCGGTTCCCCACACCTGGATGAGGATGAGGACGAATGAAGAGGGCTTCTGAAAGCCACCAAGAGGACTGAGGTCCTTACCTAGCAACTGTGGTGATGCAGAATGACCACTCCACGGCAGTCGGGAAACCTGCTTCTAGTTCTCTGCCACTAACTTGCTGCATGACCTTAGGCAAGTCAGGTCACCTCTCTGGGCCTCAGTTTCCTCATCTGTAAAGTGAGAGGACTTGGTTAACTTTAAAAAATATGTACCAGGCCCTTACTCTGTGCACTGTGCTGAAGCTGTAATTAAACAAAGGAATGAACATTTATTCAAAAAACATAGAGTAACTACTCAATGTTACTGGGCATTGTGGTTGCAGAGATGAACGAGTCAGCATCCTAGCCATCGAGACATTCACAATGTGGTCAGGGAGACAGGGAGCAACAAGAAATGGCCAACTGCATGCTCAGTGCAGACAGATGTGTTGGCACAGGAAGGAGTAGCCTTTTCTGGTGGGGCTGGGTGGGGGAAATGGCACGGAAGAGGCCTGAACTAAATCTTGGGGGATCCTTGGCCCCCACTGTCAAAGACTGTACAGTCTAATCAAGGGCTGGGACAAATATCCAACATCTACCATGGAAGGCAGAGTGAAGCCACCACAGGTAAGCCAAGTTCAGAGTGGAGGGGAACCCACGTGGCTTGGGCAGGGTGGGGGAGGGGCAGGCAGGAGGCAGAAGACGGTCAGAGAAGCTTGTGGGGTGGGGGGGATGGCATTGAGATAAGGCTTGAAGGATGCAGAGCTTCCTAAGAGCCCTGAGGGGCTGAAGAGGCATTCTAGATGAGGAGCCTGAGCAAGTAAAGGCATGTCGTGGGCTGTTGGGGCATAGCTGGGACAGCAGGCAGGCCAGGAAGTGGGGACTGACAAGGCTGGAACCTAACTGCAGGCATCGTGATGAGAGCCACTGAGAATGACAGGCCCCGGGCCAGGCACTCCACATCCTCATGCCAGTTCTTGGAGGTAGGTTCCCGCACTACTTCCCCACTCTTTAGGATAAGGAAACAGAGGCTCAGAGAGGTTACAAAGTCACACAGCTGATGGATGGCAGAAATAGCCCTTAACCCAGGTCTGCCTGATGCCCACCCTGACTCCTTACCACTGGAATGCCAGGCAGCGGCATTACCAAGCCCTTCCCATCCAAGGTACCACTGTCCCAGTGCACCTGGCCTGGCATTGTACCAGACATGTGGGTACCAAAGGTCATACCTTAACCTTGGAAGCTGGTTCGATTCAGCCGTTTCCACTTGGGCAGCTACAGGACTATCAGAATCACCTTCACCAGAAAAGAGGGGATGGGACAGGGCAAGAAATATTAGAATTGCTGAGGGGTTTTGTGCTCCACTGTCCACTAGTCTCATTTATTGTTGTTCTACAGTGGTGTAGAATGGCTCCCTTCCAGCTCTTCTCCCGTCAGCCTAGTGTCGTCATGGCCCCAGGGCAGATCACTCTGCCTTGACTAGGGTGGTTGGTCTTTCTTGTTAGGCTCCTTGTACACTCGGATGCTATCCAGGTACTGCCGGACGTTCATGGATTCCCGTCGCCAGTGCCCCAGCTTTCTGAGCTGGTCTGTCATGAATTTTATTTTCAGGTGGTCATACAAGTGGCCTATCTTGTTCTTGGTCTTCTCTGAGGCTCTTGTCTTACAAAAAACAGAGGTGAGTTTAGGATGAAGAAGCTACTTCACAGTAAGAGAGGCATCTGTGCTCCTGATATGAGGGTGGAAAAGGAGCCAGCTGGACCCAATATTTCATCAATAACTTGGCTCACAGGGAGCCTCTGTTTCCCTATTTTAAAGTGAGGGCATTGAGCTAGGTAACTCCTATGGTACCTTCTGACAGTCTGCAGCCTCAGAGCCTGATTTTGACCTAACATCTCTATTTGAAGAGTGGTGAGAAAGAGAGGGGAGGGGAGGAGGAGAAAGGGTGCATCTTGTAAACCCCCTTCCTTAACTCCTATCACCCAGTCCCTATTACTCACTTGGTGCCCCCCACATATTGTTGGTGACACCCCCTATGTCACACTGAACTCTAATTATTTATTCTATTCTACCATTTCTATCCTGTCCCCAAGAAGACTGCTAGCTTTGGGAAGGCATATCCTTTGTCTTATTCATTTACTTATTCCAATGAGTTAGCTGTGGAGAGGATACTATGAAAAATCAGCTGCAGGTCTTCACAGCAACTACAACATTAGTCAGGAAGGTGGGACACATGCCCAGATATTTCTAAGCAAGGCACAGAGTGATAGCACTTTTACTATGGATCAGGGTCTCTTGACCTTGGTACTACTGACATGGGGCCAGGTAATTCTTTGTGGCAGGGGGCTGGCCTGTGCATTGTAAGATATTTAGCAGCATTAGCATCCCTGGCCTCCACCTACTAAATGTCAGTAGCACCATCCCACTCTCACTTGTGCTACCAAAAAGGCCTCCAGACAGCGCCAGAGTCCCTGAGGAGCAAAGCCGTCCTGGTTGAGAACTGTGGCCATAGATAAAGGGATACCGGCCATCATCCACTGTTCTCAGAGCGTTGCTCAGAGGATTCCCAAGACACTAGATCTTAGCTGCCCTCCTGGAGGCCCTGAGAAGCCAGTGGCTAGCCAAAGCTGGGAGCGCTTTGCGGGGGAGAGAGAAAGACTGCCATGCTGCCACTCAAGCCTCTCAAATCTACTGAGTTCCTACAAGCTGGGCCTGCAGCAAGTCACTGGGTCTACAGAGAAGACAGTCCCTGTCCTTAGGGAGAACATCCTGCACCATGGTCAGTCAGACCTGGGTTTGCAAGTCCACGATACCCCTTAGTGAAGTTACTCCATCTCTGAGCCTCGGTTTGCTGAACTATTAAATGGGGTAATAATACATAATGGACATTGTGTACCCAAAACATGTAAGGGTTCAATACGGCTTCAAAAGGAGACCTTCTGGATGGCTGGAGGATGGCACATATAAAGCCAACTCAAGAGAGTTTCCAGTTATATCTCACAGATCCTCACCCCACTTACCAGAGGTGCAATATCTCCAAACCCACTGGTTATAGGGGTTGGCCCCCAACCCATCCTGGGCCAGTCAGAGTAGCCTACACTACCTGACCACAGTTGACTGGGGCATGGATGGGCCCGTGACCCAACTTGAGCCAACTGGAGTCCTTCTCCAGGATTTGTCTAACTTGACCAACAATGGAAGCACTCCATTTCCTTTCTGGGCTACAGGCCAGGGTTTCCTGTGGCCATGCTCCCCAGGGACAGCCAGCCTGATAACGATGCCAACATGCAGAAAGAAGCAGAAGGGGAGTTGATAGGGAGAGTGGAAGACACATCCAATGGCATTGGAGCCCCTGACATCACTCATCCCAAACATTGGTGACCCTGCCCTATCTACCCTTGATTATGTAAACTCATCATTCTCTATTTTGCTTGAACGAGTTCAAGTTCAGTTTGTGTCACCTGCAACTGAGAGGATCCCAATAGATCCTGTTTTACAAATGAGAAAAGAGTCCTGGAGGAAAAGTGACTCCCCAAGTTCACACAAAGCTGGCCTGCCCATGTCCAAGTCCACCCTATTTCCACTACACCACGCCACTGGAAATTTAGCAGAGGGAGAAACACCCAGGCCTCCAGTCTTCTTTTGGTCTCTGTGACCCTTAAGAGGATCTGACACTATCTCTTACATCTTTCCCACTGTTTTCAATGTCAGAATCCCATGCGCCATCCAGATTTGGTCCTGGAACATGGAGGGAGGTTCAACAGAGTCAAGAAGGGGACAGCGGTTCAACTCTGGGCTGCCTGCTCCGCTGGAAGAAACGAGTACATTCTCAGAGTCCATCATGTTCACTAGCCTCTTCCTAGTGCCCAAAACAGTGCCTGTCCCAAGCAGGCCCCAAAGATGTATTTAATGAATTAATCAGGGTCTGTGGGATGATGCTGCTGCAGTTCCCCTCTTCTTCCGAGGGCTTCTGGGTAAGCAGGTCAAACCCTTCTTGTCCATAAACAAAAAGTAGAAGAGCCTCAGTTCTCATGTGGAAAGTGGGGGATAATCCCTGAAGGAAAAAAATGACCAAATGCTGTCAATGCCACTTCAAGCTCTAAGAGCCAAGACTTCTTTTTATGGGAGATAGTAGGAATCCATTCAGGGAGTCCCTAAACAGAAAGCTAATGTACTTTGAGGAAAAAAAATGCCACCAGAGCCAAGAGACATGGAGTCCTCCCTGGTTCCCTCAGCTCAGGAACAGCTGTGACACCTTGGGCAAATCAGTAACCCTGAGTCTCAACTGCCTCCTCTGTAAAACGGGCTTGTATTAGAGTACTTTGATGGCTTCCTATCACCTCTAAGATCTGTGATCTCCCCACAAGGTTTTGGGGAGAGTGAAATGAACATGGATCAAGCCACTAACACCCTCTAATGCAAAAGCTTGTGACAACTTTACCTCCATCTCATAGATTCGTTGTGCACTGAGGTTGTCACGAATAATCACCCGAGATAAGTGGCTCTTGGGCAAAAATTTTTTCACTGCTGCTTCACTGGAATTCATTAAGCTGGAGAGGGAGGACAAGGTGGTACAGGCTTGATGGCTAGGCCAGGGCTAGGACAGGACCTGATCTGATGGGATCCTGGGGTAGTGGCTGAGGCTTCCCCAAGTTTCTTGGGAGAGGCACCACCCTGTCATAGTTGTCAGAGGAGCAAGGGAGTAGGCCTAGGTTTCTTCTTGTAGGAAATGTGCGCTAAATGGGTGTTTCTTGGATGCTGAGAGGGAAAACCATCCTGAGAAGGATGCAGAAAGGTCAAAGTAATCCACAAAAGAAGTGTCAACAGGGATTCAGAACTGTTCACAGGAGCAGTCATCTTAAGAAAACACAGTTTGAAATGGGAGGCGAGGATCTTAGATGAAAGAAGCAAAGTCAGAGGGATGAATCTGAGGGGGGTTGAGGTGGGGGGGCACTGCTCAAGCCTAGGTATAAGGGGGATCTGGGTGGCGGAGGTCAGAGGAAACAGGAAAAAAGAGAATAAAGTGTTTGGACAGAGGTTAGGTTGGTTGATGGGGGAATTCTAAGGGAAAAAGGTTTGGGAAAAGTCTGGAAAAGTGAAGGAAGTTTGGGGTGGACAAGGACTTGAGGAGACTCTGGAGGGTGAGAGGTATGGGATGGGGTGTGATGGAATGGAGCCAGGTGCTCCAGGCCAAACTAGAGATAACAATTCGGTCAAAATGAGGAATTGGTCAAAAATGGATAATACCAGGCCTTGAGTTTTCACTTTTTGATAATTTGGTGACACTGTGAAGTGGTTTTGCAACTACATATCTTTTCCCACTTAAAAATAATTATTCATAATATTTTCTTTCTAAAATTTGGAAACTACCTATATATACAATAGGGAAGCAAATGAATAAATTGTGGTTAGGTCATACAATAAAATATTATGCAGTTGTGAATAAAACAGACATCCAAAGTGTATTGGGTGGGGGAAAAAAGATTACAAAATAGTAAACTGTTTTGTGACATATACCCCCACAAGCCCCCGCAAAAAAAAATGTGTAAGCATGTTGCAGTACATATATATGAATAGATCTGGAACAATATACACCAACATGGTAATAGTGATTGTCTCTAGCCATTCATTTTGCTTGCCTGATTTTTCTATGATAAGTGTATATTATTTTGATAGGACAATTTTTAAGGATAAAACATTTCGAAGGATTAAAATTTTTCCTAATTCATTTTCAGCCAGTTTGGAACTGTGGTTTTATGAATGTTTTTACATTTACAAACTAGTAGAAACAAACACCCCTTATCTCCCATTTACGTTTTTTCTGAAAGCAAAGACATGAGGTGTTGGAAAAGGTTAGTTTAGAGATCAAGATGCTCACAAAAGTCTCCCAAATTCCGTTAGAAAAACAAACAAAAAAGACCTAAAATACTTAAAGACATATGAAACAGTCTTCACCCACTCAGTGGTGCACCAAATTTACCATTAATTCCTGGGAAGGGGGGAAAAGGCAGTTTTATGGAAATATTCCCTTTCAAGTAATAAATAATGATCATTTTGAACCAAATTGCTTTCCAAAGCAAGGTCTCTGTGGGAGCCTGGAGGATGCTGTGAGGGGGCTGTGAAATGGAGGAGGGGAGGAGAAACTGGGGTCTGTGGGGATTGGGGCCCGGCTGAGGGAACTGGGGGCTTTCCCTGGGCCACTGCGGAAAGTAGAGGCTGAGGAGGGGAGTGTCAGGCCTGAGGGGACCTGCGCCTCATCAGGCTCTGAAGAAGTTCAAGGCTCGGCCCAGAGGGCGCTAGGGACCCTCGGGATACACGACGTCAAACCTGGGACACTAGAAAGCCGGGTCCGCGGCGATTCGGAGGATATGTGGGTTGGAGGTGGGAATTCCAGACTCCCTTGGAGTCTGGACTGAGGGCGTTCGGGCTCCACGGCGGGCGAGGCGCTGGGCTGGGAAATTCAGACTCTCCTGAGGTCTAAGAAAGGGCTGGGCTCTGAGGGGCCCGAGGCTCTGAAGAGCCAGGGCCAAGGTCCCCGCGGCCGGCTTAGGGAGCAGGGGTCTGAGGGAGTTCGGCTCCCGCCGGGGGCCCGGGCTCTGACGAACGCTCTGGGCCCCCGGGCCGCACCTGAAGAGCACCGGCGACTGAGCGGTCCGCGGCCGCAGGAAGCAGATCTGTCGGGGCGGCTGCCGAGCCTTCTGGCTCTGCCGGAAGAAGGCCGAGGCCGGGCTGGTGCCAGAACTGGTGGTCGCCTGGGGGGCTACCGCACAAGCAATGGGCGAGCCTAGGTTCCATGTGACGGAGGGCCTGGGCTGCTGGCTAACTGCAGGATTCGCTCCTTCCACCTTAGAGAGCGACTCGGGAACGGGAGCCCGGTCGATAACCAAGATCTGTGAGGGGCGTAGACGCGGAGCGAACCTCTGCGCAGACGCGAGGCGCTGAACACCGCGCGTTGCCAGGGAGACGCGAGAGGAAGGCGGGACCGGGGTGGGGGGGTGGGGGCGGGCCTTGTGAGCAAAGCCCCGAAGGCTGCGGACGCGGCAGGATTGTCCCTCGGCGGCTGCCGTGGTGCGGCCCGGAGCGTTGCCATGGAAACTGGCTGGGGACATGCTGCCGGTTGCAGCGCGCAGAGCAGACCCTACTTCTTGACTGGGACTGCTGTAGTCCCCGCGTGATCGCAGGGCGGGTAACCGGGTGAATCTGGGCGGGGCAGCTCCGGGACGGGGAGACGAGGCCTGGGTTTCTGCGGAGACCCAGCACGGCCCATTCCTCCCCGCGACGAGGGACCACTGCTATGGAAACTGGAGCACCGGGCCGGCGGGGATTGTGGCTCCTGGGTCGTGACCGGTCTTCTCTCACCTGGGGACCCTCGCCCAAGGTTGTTTCCTGAACTAACCTGCCCTCCCGCCCTCGAGAGAGAGGTAAGACACCGAGGTCTTGACACTGAGCGGGCGAAGAAGCCCATTCCAACGCCAACTCCCCAGGAAACCTACCTGACTCACCCCTGGAAGCGGCCCCTTTCTCCCGTCAACCCTTGGACTTTGTTCCACGTTTATAACCCAGTATTAACGAAAACTCCGCGGTTTTTACCCACTTTTCCCACACATAATGAGACCAGAAAGACCGGCTTTTGAACCTTGCTTTGTGACCCTAGACAGGTCCTTTTCCCCACTCCGCCTCACCTTCCCCGTGTGTAAAATGGAGATATTAACTCCAGACACCGGCTCGTTATGCTGTTTTGGAGATCGAACCAAAGGCTTTGTACGCTATAAAATGGTGAAACTGAGATGCTGCCGAGTCGCTCTTTCTCCCTCTCCCTCTCCCTCACGCTAAACGTTCTTCAGACCTTTGTGACATTTCTTCAGGCGATCTTCGCAACTCCGTAGCCCCAGCCTGAAATAAATACCATTATTCTTCATTCCCATAATGCCCTGCATTTTAACTTCCCTAACAACAGCAACAGTAGTTATCATTTGTAGATAAATGTGCCAGGCCCTGTTGTTAAACACTTTACCCAGGCTACCTCATTTAATCCTCAGAAGATTCTTATAAGGTAGGTACTGTTATCCCTATTTTCCAACTCTGTTGCACCCATAATTGCCTATTTAATGTCTGTCTCTCCCACTAGACTTTGAGCTCTGAGGGGGGGGGGGCATGGCTGACTTGTACATTTCAGTATCCCCAGCACCTACTACAGTGCCTGATAAATATTTCTTGACTAGCATGAAAATGACTTTCCTCTCATTACTACCCTCACCTTGCAGAGCAGTATCTCCTCTGCACAGTTTTTGTCCCTGTGATGAACAACAGTCTCCCCTATTCCTGTACTAGTTTTGGGGGCCCTAGGTACTAGTTTTGGGGGCCCTCTAGGTACTAGTTTTGGGGGCCCTCAGTCCACTTCTCTCTGGGTTTTCAGATGATGAGGATCTGGAACATTCCTTAGCATTTAGGCTTCCAACTGGGTGAAGTTGGGGGTGGGTCTTTTCCCCTACCCTCACAAGACTTCTAGAACAAACCAACCCCATCTGCCCTACCTGGGGTGAGCCTATTGCATTGGACTCTGGGGTACTGGCAGGTAGGATATGTCGATGCAGCCTTTGGCCTTCCTCTCCAGCAGCCTAAGAACCACCCTCACCTCCACCCAGCTCCTCCCCAAAGTTCTAGAGAAACATGGCCAGAGACCTCATCTTTTCCAGAAAACCTCTCAGGAGGCAGAGTTGTGGTTGTTGGAGTCATTTCTTCACTCAGCAAATATTTTTAAGTACCTACTTGTGGGGACACGCAACTGGGCACTGGTGATATAGTAGGCGTGAAGATAGATACAGTGATATCTCAAGAGAACTCACAGACAGATCATGGCAAAAGCACTTCTTCAGGAAATGTTAGGAAGCAGGGCACATAGGGTCTGCCTGGAGCTGGGACTTGATCAAATATGGGGGAGGGGTGTCGTTCTGGAAGGTTTCCCTGAGGAAGTGACCCTTGGCTACGATCCCAATGCTCAACAGTCCTCTGCTGAATGGAACAGATTAGGACCTGACAGGCTTGTAAGGAAAGGGGGTTCTAGGATGAGAGCAGGAAAGGCCCTGGGCCAGAGAGGACCACCCTCCATATGGAACTGTAAGTGGCTCAGCCCAGCCAAGGCCCTTCAGAACGCGGGAAAGGTTAACAGGAGGCTGAAGAGATGGGCAGGAGCTGGGCCACAAATGGCTTTGACAGCCAAGCTTAGGGGCTCCATCTCATCGTGACAGTGGGCAGCCACTGAATTATGTTAAGTGGGGGGGGACAGAACTTTGGCTCCTCATTTGTCCCTTCTCCCTCCTTGCAGTTTTCTACGGACACAGACTAGCAGGAAGATGCAGCATCTATGTCTCACTGGCCGCTGACCCACCAGCCCGATGACAGCATCTCCGTGTGCCTTCCCGGTTCAGTTCCGGCAGCCCTCCATCAGCGGCCTCTCACAGATCACCAGCAGCCTGTATATCAGCAACGGGGTAGCAGCCAACAACAAGCTCTTGCTCTCCAGCAACCACATCACCACAGTCATCAACGTCTCAGTGGAGGTGGTGAACACCTTATATGAGGACATCCACTACGTGCAGGTGCCTGTGGCTGACACACCCATGTCGCGTCTCTGTGACTTCTTCGACCCCATTGCAGACCACATCCACAGCGTGGAGGTGAAGCAGGGCCGCACCCTGTTGCACTGTGCCGCCGGCGTGAGCCGCTCGGCCGCCCTCTGCCTTGCCTATCTCATGAAATACCACGCCATGTCTCTGCTGGATGCCCACACATGGACCAAGTCATGCCGGCCCATCATCCGGCCCAACAATGGCTTTTGGGAACAGCTCATCCACTATGAGTTCCAGCTGTTTGGCAAGAACACTGTGCACATGGTCAGCTCCCCCATGGGAGTGATCCCCGACATCTATGAGAAGGAGGTCCGTCTGATGATTCCACTGTGAGCCATTCCACCAGCCCCTGCCCCAGGGTCAGAGGTACAGATCTGCCATTGATCCTACACCAAGATCTGTACTTAAAACATTCTACTTTCACTGATACAGAAAAACCAGATGATGCCTTTTTTAAGGGCAAGTAAAAAGGAAGGGTACTGCAGCTCTTAATCTTATAATTCATAACTTTAAAGATTCAGCTTATTAAATGTAAGATGGTGAAGATAAGTTTCCTACCCTGTGAGTGACAGCTCATGGCTGCTGACCAGAGGGAAGAGTGAACCAAATGGACCAGCACCCTGCGCATATGGCAAGTTTGGTATTCTGCAGCCCTCCCCACGACCGACCAACCCAGGAATGGGTCTGCCACAATCCCGCCTCATTCTTTTGAACACGAAGCCGGCCTTAAGCATCATGGCACCTCCCATGCTTCTCACAGTAAGTGCCAACCTACTGGATGAGTAGCCTTCAAGCAGTACTCCAGGAGCCCTGGGGGCCCCAAGCCAACCCTGCTTCCACCTTCAACCCTGGTCTTCTAGATTGGACTTACGCATAAGATAGTTTTCAAAGGAAGCATTCCATTGTATAAAATGTCTTTAAAAACATTTCTTCTTGAGTGCTGTTGTACGTGGCAAGATCCCCTACCAGCCTTTGATGAAAGGTGGTATTAGTCTCCATCTCAGGGCACGTGTGGAGAGCAGGGCTGACATCAGGCTCAGAGGTTTCTCTCACAGGCCTCAGCTCAGAAGGCTGGAGCTGTGGACCGGAACCCAGCCTTGTCACCTCCTGCCTGTGTGATGTGGGGCCTCTTGGAGCCTCAGTTTCCTCGTCCAGGCGATGACAGCCCTTTCCTCACAAGGTTGTCGTGAAGATTCAGTGCTTCCTTAGCACGGTGCCTGGCACATGGTAGGTGCTTGGTGCTTGGTGTAACTGGCAGCTCTCATCACAAATGATACTCTGGCCCTGCTGCCCCGGGTCAGCAAGTCGTCTTCACAACAGCAGCTCCCCGCCTGCGCACAGCCCTTTATTGCTTAGAAAGTGCTCTTCCAAGAAGTCATCCTGTGTGGGAGAAAAATGGTTTCGGTCCTTTCAGACCCTGCCTTTAAGGAGGCCTAGACCTCGAAGCCTTTTCAGACTTCCCATTGGATTAAGCACAGTGTTTAATCCATGTGCAATCTGGGACTCCTAGAACAAGGAGCACACTTCCAGCTTCCCCCAAAGGGCCTTGTTTAGATTGCTGATCATTAGAGCCAGTGCCCTGGTCTGGCTGACCGCTGGGGTCCAGTGGGGTATGTGCCAAAGGGATAAATGAGTGGGCCCTACCAGTAGGCCCTGAAATCCAGGATTGTTCAAACCCCCGAGGTGTGTGTGGATCTGGGTCAAGAGCAGCTATTCTAATCTAGAGATTTTCAGACAAACAGTACATGGGCCAGTCAAGAGCACAACTGCTCGTGGGTCAGAGCCCACTGGAGGCCAAATGCTCTTTTTCTCCAAACCTGCCCCACCCTCACTTCCACAAAGGGCCTGCCCAGGGGTGTAATTTTAGGGTCAGGGGAGAAGGAAAATCGCTACTCAAGACTGATCTCATTTTACAGATGAATAAACAGAACCACAAACACCAGGGCTGGTATGGCAGAGCCCCCCCCAAAGCAGAAGAAACCCATCAGGAAGAAACCCAGGTGGAAAATTTCTTTGAAAACATTTTTAAAGAGAAATTTATTTGAATATCTTTTTTTTCAGTTTTTAAAAATTTTTAATTAACATACCATAAAATTAACTTTCTCCTGTGTAAAGTTCTCTGTGTTTTAACACATTCGTGTAACTACCTCCACAATCAGGACACAGGGCAGTTCCATCAACCAAAGAATTCCCTTACGCTGCCCCTTGGCAGTCACACCTTTGCCCCACACCAACCTCTGGCAAACACCTATCTCTTCTCCATTCCCTATAGATTTGCCTTTTCCACATTGCCACATACATAGAATCATAGAGGATGTCACATCTAGAGACTGGCTACTTTCTGTCTGTCTTTGAGATTCACACATGTTGCTTTTTATGGCTAAGTGGTATTCCATTGTTGGATGCGCTACAGTTTGTTTTACCTTCACCCGTTGAAGGATATTTGGGTTGTTTCCAGTTTGGGGCGATTTTGAATAAAA